AAATACGACATGTTATCCGCCCACAGGCTTACACGCACAAATGAATTTAGGCAACGGACGGGTCATCAACAACGCGTCTGCTGGGCTATACGGCGCACAGATGGATGTGGCTGCACTCAAAGATGGGTTCAAGACATATGTTAAGAAAAACAACAAAGTCGACGGCGCGTCAGTGTATGCTGTGTAAACGAGCGATGTTGGAGATGAACGACTTCTTGGCAGACTACTACAGCGAGGATGGTACTGTTATCATGACTAACCATCCCGGGTGGTGCGAGACGGAAGGTTTGAAGCCTCTGCTGGATCAGCATGCGGGATACGGCAGCATCACATTCAGGTGAGAGAGCGAGAAATATTACATAACCTAAGAAATAGATACTTGCTAATCTTTGGTGTGCGTGTGGTAGCATCACATTCAGGTAAGAGATAGATACTTCCTACACATTGTTGTACGTGTTTGTTGTTGAGGTGTTTTCACATTTCTTCTCAACTGAGCCCTGCGCAACGGGTTAACGGAGGTTCCCAATATGTGCCCCAGCCTCTGATGTCTGATCCGATGTATTAAAACGCTTTGTCTTTTACGTATATGGCATGACCTCATCACATGTATAGATACCCTGATTCTGCTATATTCATACCGTTAACTAGGCCCCAATGTTATCGAGCAGCAGCTACTCTCCCGTATGTCTGGTTGCATTTCGTTTGTCCGTCTCAGAGATCCGAGGGATGATATGCTGAGAATGTACTACCTGTGTGTGGCGCCAGGGGTTCATGTTTTGATTGACAACCGCCATCATAGGGCTGTGAATATCACACAGTGGAGAAGAACGACCGACAAGATTAAGAGTTTGGTAGTTGATAGTACCAACCTATCAATGAATGGCATATGGAGTAAGTTGGTCGACCAGATTGGATAAGGTGACCGCCAAGAGTGGAAGGTAGAACCTATGTGGTTCATGAAAGTCCTGGTTAGTTCGCCTTATCTCTTCATGAGATACGGGTAGTGTGATTGAGAGAAGATGGGGCAAGAGGATCGAGAGAAGATCATGGATGATCGTATGTGCAGCAAAGGGTCAAGGCACCAAGGATTTAAAAGGACAACACACATGTGTATCCGAGTATTTAACTAGTGAAATCGAAGGCACAACCAATAAACTGAAATTAACAAGTGTGTTGACCTCTACTTGTGTAGTAATATATTCAAAATGAGAACTTTTCCTTTTTCAATAGACCTGTACTTTAGAACAAGAGGCAACAAGCCCAAGATCGTTGTAAATATAGTTTATTTGGAACCAACTAAATGTATAGAGTACGAGTTCTGGCGGCTGGATGAGATTTGTGATACGACTTCGAACGTGTTGAACTTGCTTCACGTACCATATGCAGAATCATAAACGGAGCAGACTAGTACTATCCCCGAGCACGGCAACGCGTCCACATTTTGTACGTGAATTTGCTGTATGCGACAGCGAGGCAACGTTCGGTGCGTCTGTAAAAGGAAAAAAGAATGAAACCAGATGGGTGGTATAACTATGTATGTACAAAGGAAAAGAGGTGAATATTATGTAACTTACGTCCTTATAAACGATTAAATCTAGGCTGTTCCCGTGTAGAAGTACTACATCCACAGAGAGAGGTGTTTAACCCTTCTTCCAGGAAGTGGTACCCGAATGTTGAAGTAGTAATATACTCCTGAAAAACTTTCGTTGCTTCCACGACAACCGTAGGTTTGAACCCCAAGATTAAAATATAAATCCTCTATGTGAATAGGGATAATATTACATATTTCAAATGAGTTAAGTTACAATGTTTGTACATATGGTATGGCTCTCATAGCCGTTGTGGTGGTTCGGGGAAGATGTAGTAAAAGTCCCCTTAAACCACTATCAGTGTGGAGTTAGAATTAGTTTACAATTAATTCACACGAGGTGAATTATTTGTAGACCAAGTAGACAATCAAATATATGAATAAATACACCGCACTGAGCCTCAGGGAGACTCAGTAGGTTTTAGTATCGTATTTTGATGTGTTTACTACAAAGATCGATGGGAAGAAGTGGTCAGTAAATTCCCTGTTGAAGCTTGGACCAAGTGAGTCGACAATGGAGGATATGTGAACATGAACGTATTTGTTACAATTGTAATAAGCCGGGCCTCCGCATTAGACTCTATGTATAAACGTACTCTCAAGCAGTACGCAAATTATAAACGTACTCTTAATAGTACGAGGAACTTAAATTTCCTAAATG